ACTTTTACCAGCAGGAGGTGTGGATGTCACTGGGATTTTGGCATGGCCACTGCAGGTGTTGCCCCCTGGGCTTCCCAGGTGTCCTGGTTCAATTTCTCCAGCCCTGAGGGGCTTTAGCACCTCAATACTGAGCTGGCAAAGACCCCAACATTTGGTTTATTCTCTGCTCTCTTTAGCCAAGATCCCACCAAAAGCTGAACAGGGATAAGTTTATCTTAATCCATGTTAATTTTTGAGTGGAAAATGTGGGAAAGGGGCCACCAAAGTGACTGGAATATTCACAACACATCTGAGGAGAGTGCTGGGGTCATTTCCTATCTAAGGGGTAATTAACACCCCCCAATGTTTGTAAAGTTAACATTGATTTATAAATTTTAACCAGCCAAAAACCACTCAAGGCCTTTGTCTCTGAATACAGTATTTTAACAACTCAGGTTTAATGCTATTTCTCTGGGAGGTGCAACTTAATTCTGACAGAAAGCTGAGAACACAAAACCTTTTGTAAAATACATCAAAAAATAAATTAAAAAGTTGCCCTCATCAAGCTGTAATGAAGCAAACTCAGCTTATTCCTCATTTTAGAGAGATCCACATTAAAAATTTAACAGCCAATTGCAAGAGTTAAAGTCCAAAGCCAACTTCCCACTTGCCCTGAGCCATCAGGACCTGCCCTCAAAGCCACCAGCTCCATTTTCAGCTCTGCAAATGAAATGAGGAGCATTTAAATAAAATAAATAAATGGGCTGACTTTTCTTGGTGTTAACTCCAAGCTCTGCCTTTTAATAGGAACAACCAGGCCAAAGGAACTGAAAGTGCAAAAGGGAAGATGGAAAAAGGAATCAAAGCCCATGGAAGGAGCAGCAGCAGCAGCACAACCCCATTAGTGGGTGAGGGCAAACCCCATCAGCTCGCCGTGGAACAGACTCTGCACTCATGTCAGCAGATAAATATCCACTTCAAATCCCCATTTCCAATGACAGAGCCATTTCAGAAAAGATAAATAAAGCCTGATGTGGCCCAGGTGGGATTCCAAAGCCTGGAGTTTAGCTGAACTCCTTACAAGCATTCCCAGGCATTTCTACCCCACAACGCATTTATTTTAAGGTTGGTTGATTTTAATATATTTTTTTGGGTGCTCATAAAAAACTGCCTTCGTGGTTTTTTTTAAAAAAGCAGTAAAGTTTGGGTTCGGTTTGGGATTTTTTGTGGCAGAGAAGGAAGAAACGTCAAGGGCAGGAGTGGCTGTGCTGTCCCAGCCCTCGGGGAGGCAGCAGTGATGTCACCTGTGCTGTGAAGTGCAGCCCCAGCCCTTGGCAGGCTCTGCATGAGGAAGTGATTGCTCCAAACCCTCGTGTGATGTCAGCCCTGTGTGCACTGGATTAAAAACCTGGCACGGGCAGCTGTGGTGGCAGGGGGGCCACTGCTCTGCTTGAAAAAATGTTGGCTGCAACTTCTGGCACGGCGAGTTTGGCAGCTCCGGGCTGAGCACTGAGGTGCCACAAAACTACTCCCAAAAACTGCCGGGCCTGCCTCGCTCCTCTGCTGGCCTCCAAATATTCCCTGTGAGACAAAACAAGGGCCAGGAGAGAGCTGAGGGACAGAAGGATCCCTGGAACTGCCCAAGGCCAGGCTGGACAGGGTTTGGAGCACCCTGGCGCAGTGGAAGGTGTCCCTGCCTCTGGGACTTTAACGATTTAAGGTTTTCCAGCCCAAATCACGCCGGGATCTGGGATCCTGTGAGTCCTGGACCAGTGCTAACAGAATATTCCCAGCACCCACACCCACCCAGGCCAGGAGCAGAGCCCCAGGTGAGCACACCTGCAGCCTCCTCACCCAGCTCTGCTTTCAAGAGCTGCATTTCAAGCTGCAACAAGAACTGTAACTGCACTTTAACTCCAGCAGGTATTCTGCTAGGAAATTCCTGCAACGAGGCTCCAGCACCATCCTGCTGATGGATTTTCACCACCAAACCTCACATTTTTGGGGTCAGGTGGCAAAGGCAGCTGCTGTTGTGGGTGATTTTCCCTTCAGGGCTTTGCTGGGATCCCCAGTGAGGGTGATTTGCTTTCCCTTTCCCGAGGAGGAAGTTGGGAAAGCCTCGCCCCTGGGAGGGAGCGGCACTTCCAGATGGGACCTGAGCAACAAGGACTCGTCTGGCCCGGACAAAACAGCCTTTGTTAGCACTGGAAATTAAACCCAGCCTGCCTAGGCCAGACCGCCAGCCTAGGAGCTGCCCCAGCCTCGCCAGGAGCTGAGCTCATCCACACCGAGGGTCCCAGCAGAGAAATCCCACCCACAGCAGGGGAAAATGAGGCAGGAGGGAGAACTGCAGAGAACCCCGGGATGGTTTGGGGTGGGAAGGACCCTAAAGCCCAGCCAGGGGCACATTCCATGATCCCGGGGTGCTCTTTGGACACTGCAGGGATGGTTTGGGGTGGGAAGGACCCTAAAGCCCAGCCAGGGGCACATTCCCTGATCCTGGGGGGCTCCTTGGACACTGCAGGGATCCAAGGATGGGTTGGGGTGGGAAAGCCCTTCCAGAGAAACCTTCCCGGATCCTGGGGTGCTCCTTGGACACTGCAGGGATCCAAGGATGGTTTGGGGTGGGAAAGCCCTTCCAGAGAAACCTTCCCGAATCCTGGGGTGCTCCTTGGACACTGCAGGGATGGTTTGGGGTGGGAAGAGCCCTAAAGCTCATCTGGGGGCACCCCCCATGATCCTGGGGTGCTTCAGGGATCCAGGGGCAGCCACAGCTGCTCTGAGGATTTTAAATTCCTCTAAAAACACTTCAGAAAATCGATTGTTATGTTTATTTAATTCTAGGAAACAATGGAAATAGAGTTTTCTGTAGAAAATGTTTGTGCTCTACTCCTACTTTTGGCAATTGACCACTAATCACTTGTAACACTATTAAACTATTAATTAAATATATTGGGAAAGGACATTCTTTTAAACAAAATACATCAAATTTTCCTAAAACATGAGGTGCCCTGCATTGCTCAACTCATCCTTTTTAAAAAGACCCCAGAAACAGCAGAGCAGAAGTTTCCACCTCCAATATTCGTCAGCTCCAAATAAAAACTTTATTTAATTAGCTTTAATTATAATCACAGGGCTAATATTTCATTAAGCAAATCCTGATCAATTGGAGAAGTCATTATTTAAGATGCCTCCCGCCAAAAAGAACAACAAACTTCAATTACCTGGTGAGGGCAGCAAAAATTTTGCCCAGAACGTTTTAAAAAGCCCCAGATTTTGTGATTTTATCAGCCCTGAGCCCGATGAGAGGGGCAGGCCTGAGCAGATCCTGGGCTTTGTTTTACTTCACTCGGGAGGAAACGGGGCCTGTTCCACCTCTGAGAGTCCCTCCCCAAAAATGACATTTCTAACGTCAAAATGAGCACCAGGATGACCACAAAAGTTTGCAGAAACTCAAAACCACACTGATTTTTAAAAAACAACAACATAAAATCTCTTTCTTTTAGCCAGGAGACAAAGCCAGTACTTGAAGGTGCTCTCCAGAGCTTTTACTGTATTTTTTTTTTACTTTGACTTCAAAGGTTTTTCAAACATGTTTAGACAAAAAAAAAAAAAAAAGCCAATTAATAATCCTCTTGTCTGGACTTTCAGCTTATGAGGCTGATTTTGGGGTGGTTTTTCTTCTCCTTGGCCACAAATTCCCTACTGGGAACTCTGGACAGATCACAACCCATTAAAGGTTTAAAATTAAATGTGATTAAAATTCTCTTTTAATGTATAGTCACAGAGATTTTACTGCTGGTAGAAAATAATTCTGATCTTCAATGCCCAAACTGGATCAATTCTACCAAATCCAAAAGCTGCAAATAAACAGAAAATAACCCGACAGCTCTGAGCTCTCTGACTCACAAACACAACGACCTGAGCACATCCCTGCTGTCACCGAGCACTTTCAGGCATAAAAATTAATTTCATTTGTGCTGGGATAAACCCCCAGGACAGAAATCCTCCCTCAGTGCTGCCCTGCACACCTGTGGAGCTGGATGTGCTCCCTGCTCCCCTCCCAGACCCAGCCCGGGCAGCTTTTGCAAATAAAAGGACAAAAACCAGGTCCAGGATGTTTGGTTTGGGGATAAAAACTCACCTACAGCTCTCAGCTCGTCTCTAAACTCATCCCTTAACACGTGGGTGATGTACGAGCATTTAATGGTTAATAATGGCATTTCTGTGAGGAACCTGAACATTCCATGATCTTTAAACTGGAGAAAAGTGTGACTTTTTTAAAAATAAGGGAGAGTTCTCCGGTGTTTTTGTTGTTTACTACGGGCACATTGAGATTGTTATCTTCATTTGCAGCACTTCTTGCGAGCTGCAATCCTAATTCCTCCCCTGCCTACGAGCTGTGAATTGCTAAACAAATACAATTTCACTGTCTTTTAGGTACCAATCATCAACCGTGATAATAAAAAAGCCCAGAACTAAAACCTGTTTTTAAGCCACGAGGAACCAGAGCTCAGAACTTGTCTCGGGCCTGTCCTTGCCACACAACCCCCAAACAAACCAGCCCAACAACCGCGCAGCAAAGAAAGTGGAAACTGAAATAAGCAAAAAATAACAGTAATAACAATTAGAAATTAAAGCGCATTTTAGCGAGGGGGAAGTAAAAAAGCCGAATTTCCTCAGCGGCCAACTTTCGAGAACCAAACGCCGCGCTTGTTTTAAGGAGAAAGAACCCGAACCGACACCCAGCCTCGGTGGTTGTTTTTTTTTCACCTCCCTATCGCAACGACACAACTATCGCGACTCGGCCAGCCGGCCGCAAGTTTCCTCCCCGAACAACTCGCTCCGATTCCGCCTCCCGGGGCTCCTCCACACGCGGCTCCCGCTCCCCGCCCGCCCCGGCGGGGCCCGAGCGCCCAACCCCGCCCGCCCCTTCCGGACCCCCCGCTCCTCCGCCGCCTCACGGCCCCCTCACCTGCGCTTCCAGCGGGCCCGGAGCTCCCTGCCCCGCTCCGGGGGGGCCCTGGCCCTGTGCCGGCCCCGCCTGGCCGGGCCCGGGCGGGGTCTGGGTCTGGCTGGGGAGGGTGAAGTCGGTGAACTCGAACTCGGAGCCCTGCGTGTCGGCGCCGAGCAGCTCGGCCTCCTCGGTGTCCAGGAAGGTGAGGGTCTGCGAGCTGGGGCCGTACGCCTCCACGCTCATGGCGGCGGCGTTTCCTCTGGCCGGGAGCCTTCGCCGCCCCTCCCCCCCCCCCCCCCCCCCCCC